TCTGTTTTCCCTTGCCACGCCCCCCGAGCACCGGATCACCATCGTCACGCCCCCCTGTCTGTCAACCAGTCCTGATGCTCTTCGTCTCCTCCACTGATGTCCTTCTCCACTTACTTCCGGATTATACCGTCTGCATAGGGTCCTGAACTACGCTTCGCGGGAGCCTGGACTGGCTCCAGTTACAGAAAACTAGATGGACCAACTGCCCTTCTTTGTTATACTCTTCTGAAAGAAAGCTTTAGATTTTCAAAGTCCAGGGTTCTATTTCTCCCTCAAACAGCAAACATGCCGAAACTTCATTTCTGCTAGTGGGAATCTGACACATGCAGTACGCAAAAAAACAGAATGTTTATAATTTGGTGAAATTAATACAGAAGCTTGCAAGCAGGAACATTGAAACAACATGCTGTATAAACACAATATGCGCTAATCAACATGCTTGATCCCCCTCCACACGAATGGAATGTGTGTAAGATAGAGGACGGGGCCAACTTTTCTTGGAGAAGAAGCTCATCCCTTTGCTGAAAAGATTGCAGGAAAACTGGAGGGTTCTGTTAACAAACTCCCAATTCCATCCTTATACTGTCATCTGAATGAGTGAGTACTAGCCTGCCTAGCGAGCCAGTCTCTGCCTAGCTTTGCCAGGTGTTACTGTGAGTCTAGGCGTTTAGTACGGCTTGCTTCTGCATGACTATATAAAGACAAAGTCCCATTCTATTCTGGCTCAGGTAAGTAAAGGTGTTACCTGACAGTAAATAGTATTCATAATTCATACAGTGCCACAGTATGCAGGCCAAGATTGCACACACTCCAGTTCTCACAATGATCATTTTACATGATGCATTCTTAAATAACTTTCTCAGGAACAAACAGTTTGGCCCAAACCTGAATGGAAGAGTGATGTTTTTCTAAGTAAAAAAATATTATTATTTTAAATAATTTGGTCAACGGGAAGTGTATGCTGGACTTACTTCTGCACAAGAAACATAAAAAAGCACTATTAATGAGCATTTTCCTGGGCACTACAGATAAGAATAACATCGTAAAATGAATGCTTAGAAAGAAAACCTCACATTTATGCATGAAAGTAGAAGCAAGAAAGATGCTTCTACTTTCAGGTCAATACTGCAGCTCACTCATGGAATTGTATTGTTGCAAGCTTTCACAAAATCTGAATAAAATCAAAAACTGTGCCTGTGTATAAATGTATAACTGTGTATAAATGACCCTGTCAATTTATACATAATAAAATGCAACAAGAAAAGCGCCCACAGCTGATTGACATATCTGAATATTCTGACAACATGGCTATTTTTTTTCCAATTAACCTTACGCTTCACAGGCATTGAGCAAGCCAGAAGCAAATTTGTTGCATGGAAAACAGAGAAATCGCTGCCTGATTTCAATCCCAGACAACTCCGTAAGCTTTCAGCTAACATTGTATTGCTCTTTGGAAATTCCTGGTCAAAGTCTGCTAATGTCATAATTAGCTAGCATGCTCTAGAGTCTAGACAACAGGGTGCAACCTGAATTCTGAATAGAGTTTGAATTGGATTAGTTTGAACCTTTATTTTCCGGTGTTCTATTTCACCAAGCTAAAAAACTCACTTAAAAAAAAGAAGAACAAAAATTGCCAGGGAGCTCAAGTACAGAAGCTAAGATATGCAGAGAGCCATCCAGACAGCAAAGCAGCGAGTATCTGTTAATCGATTTTGGATAACTAAGTGAAATATGTTGTGGAGAGTTCACTTGAATTAGTCATTTCCACTCTTGATCAGAAGAAAAAATATGGAACTGGACTTGTGCATGCGAAAAGTATATTTATTACATTCTATTTCAGACTTTACCTTAAACCTAATCCTACCCCAACATGGGACAGATGTTATAGCATATTTAATAAAAATGCATCATAATAAGTATGGTATGGTTTTTCTTTTTGTATGCATGATACAAAACAAGATCCAAGGAACTTGGGCAAGGTCCAAGATCCAAGCAAAATGGGCATGATCCTATCAAAAACTAATGACAATACGTTTATCAAGTGCCTTGATCAACTTGATAAACATATTCTTTAGCACACTATGAATAAGGTGGCACTTACCTTACCAACTGAGAGCTGATTAACAAATGTGTCCTGTACTGTACATATATAGTAAGGACCATGCTTTATGCTCATATACAAAGTATTCTGCTGAATCTCCTTTCAATCTTCTTTTACTCAGGCGAATCTAGTTCTATAAAAGGGTTTCTGGGCAAATTACAAAAATTACCCCTTTTTCCCTGCAATCCCCCTTATCCAGATTGGTGAAATGCGACTGCTCCAGGCCTTGAAAAAAATAACTCAGTGAAACCCACTCTTACAACACTTCCTGTTACTCACACTGGATTGCTGTCATCTTTTTTTCTGCTGGAAACTGCTGAAATTAAGGGAGATTATTGAGATTTGCCCAGAAGCCCTGGGAGGAACTAACAGGGCTTACGTAAAATAGGATTTGCCAGACAATCAGGACCTTAACATAAGCACATTCCTTTCATCTTGTGATGTAGAAAACTCCAAACGTGGGAGCTGCACATCCAATGACACCTGAGCAAAGTTTGAAGAACTGAAGAAGCAAAGGATTTTAATTTCTTTTTTCACTGAAGATTCCTGATCGCAGTTCGAATCCCCTCTTCTCATCTACGATATCCAATCTATGATTCCCATCGGGTTTTCACAGTTAAAAAGCCATGGCCTTTCTTCAACCTGACCCTTATGCTGACATGTACTGTATTGCAAGTGCTGTCATTGCAAAACAATGGTCATTCAGGCCATATTGATCATATTCAGACGTGTGACTGTTGAACCACAAGGGTCCTTCACATTGCAACACAATTCACTACATTACCCACAACACTGTGGATGGGTCGGTGTAGCTACTAACCTCTTCTGTTTCCTTAAATCAGATTCATCTCAAAGCATCACATCATTGCCTGATGCCTGGGTCTGTTTCACTGCTTCTTCCCTCCTCCCCACCCTCCCCATTGCCTTGTTCTCTTCAGTTAAGTAACATGCCAGAGTATTTATGCTCATACAGAAACATCAGTCCTCACACATGAAAAATTAATGCGCTCTCCTACATATCCTTGTACAGTATGTCAGCAAATACCAGCACTTGTGGAGATGTGTGCCTGTTTCATCACAGTTTGCCCTGAGTCCTGTGGAAAAGTTTTTGTAATACTCCTTGCTTGAGGGCGTACAGCATTTATTGGTGACAGCTGCGAATTCTCCAAGTTTGCCTGGGAAAATTCTCCAATGACATTACAGACATGTACTACAGTTCAGTTATAGGAATAAAAAGCTGTTAGAATGAAATCTGTAAACGTCAAAGGCAGTCCTCCTCAAGTACACAGAGATTTGTCCTCGTTATCTATATATCGACAATCTCCCAAATTACTATTGTCATCTTAATTTATTGCGTTCTTAAGCTTCCTACATTTTTTGAATTCCGAGTAGTCTTGCACTCCCTAACTAGTATTATTTGTTTTGGGACTAACTGTTTCTGCTAATCCTAGGAATATAACGAATTTTGATCTGGGAAAACTGTCCATAGAGATAACAGGTGTATTAGCCTGGGCTGGGCCCTTCCTTGATGTCTTCCTTACTGCTTCAAGATCACTCTTGTCTCCCATTCTAAGAATACTCTACAAACAACACTCCAGTACATCGAGTAAGCAATTGTCTACCTCGTTTGGGAAACGTGTGAAGTACTGTATTACAACGCCTACTTCTAGCGACACTGTTTGTTGGACCGCAACCTGTATTCAAGGTTATAATGTTTCTTTCTACAATAGAAAAACTGTTCATTCTGGATGTCCAGACTGCATATTAAATCACCTGCATCCACCCACGCCAGCAGTTTCAACTGTAGTACTGTACTTCCAACAACAAAGGTGTGTATTGCCAGCGACGGTTTAGGTTTGCACATCACCCACCATGTCAGCTGAATGAATGACAGCAATCCGCGACGTCAGTTTGACAGCATTCTTATAAAAACGATATTCTACAGATCTTCCTCGACTCGTTCGTTTCACGATTTTGAAGGTTTTAGGGGGAAAACGCCCTTCACGTTATTAAGAAGGGTAAGAAAATATCCTGTGCTATGATTGCCTATTTAAAAAAGGAACATCCCTCCCGCAACTAATCATTAAATATTTACATCCAGGTGAAAAGCAAAAATATTGTATCGATCGAAAGAATGACTAAAAGAAACTATATCACTCGACTGCCATGAATACAGAGCACACACGCCTTCAAGAAATCAAGGCAGTCCCTGTGAAAGCTACAAGCACATTCACAAACAAAAGACCTCTGTAGTAAGGACGAAATTGAAGTAAATGCCATGCGTTCTCACCACTAACCATTTAACATTATACAGTATAAACCATACACTGCCATTGAAGGGCTTGAATCCGGAGAATGTTAGAATCACCAATGAATGGAAATCCGTTATAACGTTAAACTGCATTAGAAATGGACATGTTTTGTGTAATGCAAAGTGCGTTTTAATCTGCCTAAATCTAAAACACCACCACGCCGTTCTCAGTGAAGAGAAACTGCAGCGTGAGCAGCGGGAAGGAAATATAAAGCAAGAAATAGCTGTGGTTAAAATGACAGCTTTGGCGTAGCCCAGAATAAAAAAAAACACGAAGCATCTGGTGCCGCTTACTTGTATTACAGTTATATATGTATCACTATACTGTACAAAGCACAGCTCGTAATTCGAAACATAAAATATTGCTTAAAAACCGTAAACGACTTCAGCATGCATGGGTAAAAAAACCTCGCATGAACGTTAATTCACGACAAAACTTCAGAAAAACGAGGTACGAGGATTGGAAGATAGAATGTACAATGTTATTATACAGTCAAATGTCAGCGCAATGCCTGTGTACTCATGGGCGCTGGTTCCGTTGTATTGATTATGCGGGCCGGTGTGTTCTCATTGAAGGACCGTACTCACCACAACAACTGAGGTCCGCACGGCTTCCGAGACGCTCTGCCTTAACTCTGCCGCCGTTCCGGGTTTACTCAACCTTTTGGTAAATTTCCGAACTTCTGACATTTTACTCCAGTTTTGTCCGTTTTCCTGCGGGGGAACGGCAAAGCTTTCCGCGGAGCGCAGAGTCTCTCTTTTCCCAGACAGTAGAGTTCAGCCACTCGCTCCGACAGATGGTGGCTTCGCCAGCGGTGGCGCAGCGAACTGAGGAGGCGAGGCAAGGCTTGGCTCTTGGACCGCAGCTTCAGCATCCTGCCCTGAGGTGACACCGACCTGGTCTAAGTAACTATCGTCTCGCAGTCATGCAAGTGAAATCCCCAGCAAGCTGTCAAAGTAGAGGGGCTGCACAAATCAGTTAATTTCACTAACCAAAGTGAGCAGCTGGTTTAAAAATTATTTTAACCTGATTGAAGAAAGGTTCAGTAATAATGCAAACCATCTTGGAAAGAATAAAGCATGTTTGGTAAAGTCACCACCAAATTGCAAGACAAATCAAACAATGCTCGTCACAACGAACGTGGAAATAAACTAATTAAGGGAGGAAATGTGGGTCTGTGATCACCAACGTAACAAAAAAAAAACATGAAAAGACCCACAGGAAAAGCCCCAAAGAAAAATGCGCTCCAGTATTAATAAATGTAGATAATTAAAAAAAAACATTTCAACATATATTTCAATCTGATCCCGTTTACAAGCCAGATTTCATAAATCATACGCAAATTACAAAAAGCAGTGCATCGCTCCGAGTTTAATTAACGTTTTAAAAGTTGGTGCAACGATTTAATTCAGTAATATAAAATATACAAGCTACATTTATATCTGCACGGTTTTTCGTTCAGTTCCCCCTTACACCTTCTGTAATTATTATGTTATAGGTAATAACTTACTTGTAATTATTACACTACAGGTATATCCCCTTTTTAAAGAATCAAACTGGAAAACGTAGAAACGAGTGACACCAACTGGACACTATTCGAACTGCACGACCTTTTACGTTTTTCAAGCTCGCAATTTAAGCCCAACTCATCTCTGAGGACAAATGTGTTCTCTTCTTGTAGTACGTAGTTATATGTTACCAGAAAACCTAGTAAGCTCTGATATGTTATGTTACTACAGTAAACACTAATAATAAATATATTTTTGTGTGTACAAAACACATCACTATAATAGAGGAGTTCATATTGCTTTGAAGACATTCTTAGAGATAAGAGCAGGCATACCTAGTGGGAAATCAAGGTATATATCCGCTCTGCCTTCAGCTAGAAACTAGAAAGAGAAGATCCTTGTAGAGCTTCGTTACAGAATCTATGGTGTCGTATAGAAGCAGAGCTTAATTTTGAGTTACTTTGTAGCATCAGGTAGATGAAGAAAATGCAATTCATCACAGGTTAATTCATATTAAGATCAATTCAACTGAGGCTGAAGCTCCTGTCTCTGCTACTGAAGAGATCAGTCCCAGAAGTTATCCAGAAGACACAGTTGTATGCAGAAGTTTAGGCACTCCTGGTCAAATTACATGTTTCACAGGATCTCGAAGTGAAAAGAAGTTACCACAACTTCTGTAGGGTATAAACATGACATATTTCTCCACATTTTAATGCGCACTTTTTATTTACTGACTGAAAAACAGAGTGAAAAAAGTTTTAAAAAAGTGATTGTGCCAGAGGCTGTGTTTACTTCTTTTCACTTTGAGATTCAGTGAAACATGTGATTTGACTAGGGGTGTCCAAACTTTTGCATACAAATGGACGGTATTTGTAGCTATTAAATTATCAAGACTCAAGATCTGAAGTAATATAATTGTGAAGAGTTAAGTCATTTGTGGAATCACTAGGTACAGAAGGTTCCTCAAGGACCAAAGTTTCCTTAACTGAAGGAAGTACTTGCTTATATGTTCAGTACCATAAATGGTACATTCAGTACCATACTCTTACACACAATAAATAATAATTGCTTACACTTATATAGCGTTTTTTTGGACACTCCACTCAAAGCGCTTTACAGGTAAAGGGGACTCCCCTCCACCACCACCAATGTGCAGCATCCACCTGGATGATGCGACGGCAGGCATAGTGCTCCAGTCTGCTCACCACACACCAGCTCTCAGTGGGGAGGAGAGCAGAGTAATGAAGCCAATTCATAGATGGGGATAGCGTCCTCAGCACTGCGACACCTGGTCCCCCTTGGGAGCATCATGTTGACGAGCACAAGGCAGAGAGCACATCAGGCCCAGCCAGGAGAGAGTGTGGGAGGAGGCAGCCAGGGAGCGTGTGGATGAAGCAGCAACACCAGGGGGC